TGTTTGTGGTTGTAATGTGACAAAATATGGAAAAGTTCAAGGGGTATGAATACTTTTGCAAACCACTGTAAGCATACAAATGAAATGGTAAATGATTTTGGAACTGAAACCTTTTCCCTCTATTAAACAATTGTCTGAATTTTGAACATTTTCTTTTTGAGTTGTGGAAATTTTCCTAATCCATCACAWAAACTTTAAATGGGCTTGTATAATAAATATAGAATAAAGCCGTAGTAAAGTGCATTGCCTGAGCAAAAAAGGTCACTACCTGGATTTAACTAAGTAAAAGGGTAAGAGCGTCCTGTTGGATAATTACTACACGGGTGATTATGTTTCAGCTGATAAGAAGTTAATTAACCCTTTACTGACGCAGTGAGTGGTTTCTCATTGGTTTAAAAAAAACACCCTGTGGTCATGGAAAAGATGTTAATCTGTKTCAGAAGGGTCAAATTACTGGCACCAAGCAGAGAAAACATCAGAGGAGATTGATGAAATGACTAAAATCCAGTTAAGAACCATCTAAGGTGTTATAAAAAAAAACAGGAAAGACGGTGGTAAGACATCATCATTGAGGAAGAAATGTGGTCGTAAAATAGTCTTGAGTTATTATGATMATCAGTCACTGAAACATTTGGTGAAATCAAATCGTAKAAAGACAGCAGTAGAAAGGTCATTTTCACACAYGGATTTGCCACCAGAGAGTCCAGATCTGAACCCCATGGAGAATCTTTGGGGTGGGCCAAAGAAGACGTAGATCAGTGGTTTGAATCTCYCGTCAWCAAAACAAGATCTCAGYGATCAATTTAGGCCAATCTGGACAGAAATAAATATTGTGACATTGCAGAAGTTTGCCACAGTGAATACACRCATTAATCAAAGCTAAAAGCAGCCAAACAAAATGTTAGTGTGTTTGACCTTTCTTCTTTTAGCCTGGAAGTGTTTCAACAAACAGTATTTTAGGCGTGTTTGTATTGGGGGGTGGGAAACTGGTTGAGAAAAGGGTAAACAGAAGTCACCAAATCATGGCGGAGTCATAAAAGACACTGTAGCCACGCAGAGTTTGATGCAGTCGAGTGTTTCCCTTAAACAAACAGACCTGAGTAAGTCGAAAAAGTTTCTGTATTTTTACACTTATATTATACATTGCCTGCTTATTTTCTGGGGGAAAAAAACACTTATTTTCCTGAGGCTTCAAGGATATCACTGTACTTAAACATAATGGTTTTCATACCATGAGGCATCTCTCTTTTCTCTGTCTTTTTCACCTTTAGAATAGAAAAGAAATGGTCAAATTTGAAGCCCAAATCATACACAGAAAACTGAGTTCTCAGTTAAATGTTTTTTAGCTCTAAAAACTCCAATGGCTGCTTGTTCTCACAACCCTGGTCACACCCCCTGGGGGTGGTCCCTCTTACGTCAGGGTTGGTAATGTAAATATTTTTACACTGCTGGAGCGAGGCACATATTAAATGGACGTGTTGTTTCTCTTACTCTTTAAAGTAAATGACAATAACCGATTGCAAATTAAAAGATCTAAAATTAGTCACAAAATATCTTTCAGTACAATCRGTTTTAACTCTCTTACAGATGTATCTTTTAAATATTTATTATTTTAACTTTCCCAATGTATTTACAGTAGGGTTGGGCATAATCGTATCGTGTGCAATTAATCGTCAGAAAAACATTAATCGATTATTTTTTTTGGCACTTGACGATATACAAATACGAAGAACATTAAAAATAAGGTTCTGTAATTTATTTATTTATCTATCAACACAATTTAAAATATGATTTATAGCCTGAAATATGTAATTTTCACACAATTTGGAACAATTTTTACAAATAGCAAATCTTTCCCACTAAATTGGTCATGTGACCAGGAAACAAGGGTGTCCAGAGACTCCAGAGGATAAATCATCAAATTAATCGTTATCGGCTAAATACCACGATTAATAGTGATTAATTTTTTTTGCCAATATTGCCCAACCCTAATTTGCAGTCCCTATAAATAGCATTTACCCTCTTGAATGTTTTATAAATAAATAGTTATAAATAAATCCAGATCAATATAAATTAGCATTAAATAAAAGAAAATTAAAATGTCAAATAGAAATCTAATTTCTACACAGTAATCTCAGTCAAATATGTAATGTAAAATGAGCGATTGTGTAAAGTCTACCCCCTTTTTAAATAACAGTAACAACAAATAACTTTCTTAATTCGCCTTGGAGAAAAGGTTACTGAAAAGTACAAGTCAAAGAGATTTCCACGACTAAATGTTCCCCGGATTTTTTTTAATCCATCAACAAATGTAAGGATGAAACGTGTGTACATCTAACCAAAACCTACAAATGTTTCTTTATGTAGGCAGAGGGCTGCAACCTATAAAATGTTCCAGACTAAACTCAGTTTAAGTCTCTTCTAGCACTAAATCGACCTAATTTGTTACATTTTCTGTGAAATGAATCAGTCATATCTGCCTAGATTGAATCAGTTTCCTTCTGTATTTTGTTTATTCACCTTGTTTTTTTTTTTTTCTCTCATCTTATTTCTCCCCCTTATCTGATCCCCCTCTGCGTACAGGGCGGCCCGTGCAGCCGAGGGTCCCGTGTTCACCGGTGTGTGCAAATGTTTCTGTCGCTCCAAGGGCCACGGCTTCATCACACCATCAGACGGAGGCAGCGACATCTTTGTTCACATCTCTGAGTGAGTGAGTGTGTGTGTGTGTGTGTGTGGACAGGTTAGAGTGGGGTGGTGGTGATGATGAGAGGGCTGCCTCGTTTCTAATTAGTCCCCAAGCGATGCCACGACTCTGCGTGGGAGTGGAGGGAAACTCTCACAAAGAGGAGTGACGAGTGTGTAGGAGTGTTGAATGACCTCCGCTGCAGGCYCTTTGTTCAGGCTTGAAAACACACAGACGTCAGAGGGGCAGCTCATTTCAACACCTACTTGCRTGTTTAAAAGGAAAACTGCTCAGGGTCTTTTACAGAGTCTGCAGCATTTCTTCAAAGCTGTGTGGCAAACACAACAGAAACTGTCTCGCTGCGTTTGATGGCTCACTTCAAGGACGTACAGTGGGCTGCAGAAGTACAGTATTCAACCCCTTTTGTATTCTTTCTTTGTTTTCCTACAACTTGGAATTGAAAAGGATTTGAAGGTTTTCCCTTCAGAACCCACCTAAATCCAGGGTTCCTGCGGATCCTTAAAAAGTCTTAAAAGTCATTGAATTCATCGATCCAAAAATAAGGCCTTAATTAGCCTTAAAATGTCTTAAATCAATCTTTCAGAAGCCTTAAAAATGTTAACACWTTGYAAATAGGGTGATTGTAACTCATCTCAAATATTAAAGTAATTGGTAAYATTTATTAATTTTTTAAACATTCACATGCAGACATTCCTGTTTGACATCACTTCCTGTTGCTTTGCATGCAAACATCTCAACAACCGTCCGTCTGAGCATTGTCAAATTCCTTTCATAATATGTTAATAATGTTGTCTTTCCAAAAATGTATTCACATTTCTTACAAAAAAAAATGATATTTTTTGCCACTTCAGTAGAAAGCAGAACTGAATATCAGTTTCTTAATTTCTTCATCATCAGTGACCTTTTTTTGTTTTTGTTTTTAATTTATGCCATAGGCACTTTAAGGTTTCATCTGCAGCAAATTAGGGTTGAGACCCCACTGTGGGTCCTAAAACTCCAAATTTTGGGTCATTAGAGAATTTCCAGGAATTAAATTAAGTTTAAAACTGACTGCTAAGAAGGGTTTTGCTGTGTTTGACAAAAAATCTGTTTAGATATGGTTAAAAACAATTGGTTTATTAGGAATATTTAAACACTTCAACCAAAAATACTTTTATTCATGAGTTTCTGACCGTTTTTATTTTTTTGTCCTTTTTGTTTTTTGTGAAATTGGTTTTAAATTTAATTTCATTTGGCATTAAAAGTCTTAAATTGAACTTGCCTTAAAGCTGCTGTATGTAGTTTCTTGGGAACCCAAAAACTTAGAAAAATTTTGAACAGAAACAACCTTGTAGTCCCTCCCCCTGCTCTCAGCTCCCCTTCCTAGGCTCCTCCCCCACAGCAGGGCCCAGAGCCGTGAACGCGCACGCTTGTAGACTAGAGGTGATCTCTCCGTAACACATAGAGCTCAGAGCTAAGCTGCCGTCACAGGTAAGAACAAAACAACTACTGTATATATTTTTAACTATCATGTCT